GAAAGAAGCACACATGACCAAGAGAATGAATCAGCTCATATCTAGTAAGCCAAGCAATAAGATTAGAAAATAAAATATTTCTAATATCTCAAATTTTCTGTAACACAATAGCTTATTTAGAAAACAGCAACAGCAACAGAGTTACAAGAATATGTAGTATTCTACACTCATTTGTCAATACTCAGACATTTCCTTCATTAATTAAAGGATTGAAGATATAGTTTCATTTAGAGGGCAAACAGAATAGCTGTTTAATATTTTATAACTAGTGTAACTTGTACCTTTTTTCGAGATATTGCTGGCAGAATTTGCCCATCTGCATTGCCAGAAAATGTTGCTAAAGCATTTCTCCAATTAAAATACATATTCCTGAACATAAGAATGACTTGGCCTAGTTTGGAAGAGACTTAAATTCACATTCAATGCTGACATTAACTGATGATGGTGACAACCTGTATGGCTATGGTTTTATATTGTAGGTCACTATAGGAGTGGTTGAACAGAAACGCAGAAAAGGGGACACAGAAGATAAATAAAAATAGATGATGGTAGCCAGTAAAAGAGGAAGACAGATTTGCTGAACATATGCACAAACTGAACGTTGGAAATGACAAATTTGCATGTTATACGTTCTGACTATAAGTTCAAAGATCCCCGACGACTGCCTATCATCTGAATCTGAAGCACATTGCAGGCTTATGTGTTCTTTGAAATGTAAACATTGAGCTTGGGGTGGAGTTGTCCGTGTGCAGTATGTGCTATTTGAAAAAATTATTTTTAGTTGGTGTAATGTTGTCAGGGTTTGCAGTGGCTGTCACCCATTTTCTGAATACCATAAAGGCTGTCATAGTAGAGGCAAGCTTCCACTGAGAGGAAACAGATTGCTCGTGTTGTCAGTATTCTGGGTTAGAGGATGGAGCCGGAGCTGAGCCCTGAAAGTGGCGGCAGAGCATGGCCAAGTGCCCACATACACAGACACACACGCGCACACACACTGGGAGAGAGATGGAGAAGCTAAAAATACACAGGGTAATGAGAGTGTGGTGTCGCTGTCATCCTCTTGCTCTGTCGCCTGTAGCCACGCCGTCTCTCTCTCCTGACTGTCGCATCTCAGTACGCGCATATACGCGCACACAAAAACAAAACGCATACCTGATGGATTATAAGCTCAGGTAGCATTTAAAGTATTAGCTACTGAAACTTTTACAGTCTGCAAGATCTCAGTGTGTCACGGTGTTCTATTAATCTGATATAAGACTGAAAATGGAAATATGAAATAGACAATTTCCTACTCAGGAATGATGCAGTTTTATTAAAGTCAATTTTGCCAGTCAAATAAAGTTCAGTAAATGTTTTAACTCCCTCTAAAGTTTTTGCCCCACAAGTGGCGAAGCCTAAATTTGGAGATGACAGTCCCCCAGACACTTGGATAAAAAAATGAAATAGCCAAACAACTACTTGCCACATGGATGTCGACATCGATAGTCCCCAGGAGATAGATTGTACCTTTTGCCACCATCAAGCTAAATTTCCACTTACCGGTACATACAAATTGGAGAAGCTTACAAGGGTATGTGGAAAGGGTATATTTTTTGATGGCATGTGACAAGATACTGATGATGCATGACCTAATTTTCATTCAATTAACTATGGGCATGATTATTTAAAGAAACATTATGCTTTTGGTGACTCCAAAAACCAAATGGTATCACCCTTAGGACAAATTTCACAGTTTTACACCCATCACTGGGGAAGCTTTTAAAAGTGTAAAATGAACACTCAGACCATTGCATTTGTAATCAAGAGCGTAATGAACAAAGTAGCCTCTAGGAGCCGTTATCTTACCAATATTTTTTTTGAGCTGATAGAATTATAATGTGCATATAATCTGAAGAGACAAACACAAGATCATGTTTGCTAATGCGGTGATTGGAATGTAGGCCAGATGGTCAGTATGAGTGCAGTCAGCTCAAATTATTACCTTCTTATTAAAAGGAGCATTGAGTCTGTTTGGAACGGAAAGGTTGTCTGTGCATCTGAATGCCTGTCTGAAAGCATGCTGATGTTTTTCATTTAACTATCATAATTTGCTTTAGTTGCTTTATATGTCCTTTTAAAATGTGGTCAAACTGCAAATGTGGCACAGCTTGTTTTTATTTTGGTCGGACAAACGTGAGTGATAAGCATGGCACATTTCCAGCATTATTTGATAAGCGGAGAGGAATCACTGTATGCAACACAACTGGTGGAAGTTCATTCTAGGAGTCTGGTAGCATTGTGATCTAATCAGTTTGAGATTAACAAGATTTGACAAAGCTCACCGCCTAAAAAAGCACAAACTCTCGAAAAAACGCTTGTTGTGTCCCCGGAGGGCACTTTGATTCCCTCTATCCTCCTGCCAGCTCACTTCATGCCTTGCTCAGCTCTCATTGATGTGAAAATCATTCTACAGATTCAGGAATATCAATGTGTGTGTCCGTGCGTGTGCCTGTTTGCTTGCTCCACACACCTGCTCATTTGCGTGTGTGTCTATGTGTTATTCTTGTGTGTTTTTTTTATTATTGTATTTTAGTGCTTTATCCGTCCTCGTCCGTTGAACCTCCTGTCTGAGCTGCATCTGTGCACCGGTGTAGCCGGGACACATCACCTAGATGAAAGGAACAGAGGCTTTTTTATGTACGCAGAACATTTAAATTGCATGAGCTTGTTATTGTGCTGTGACTTAGCTTTGGAAGGCTAATTGAAAATTGAGCTGAATACATGGTGTGTGTGTGTGTGTGTGTGTGGTGTGTGTGTGTGTGTGTGTGTGTGTGTGTGTGAGAAAGAGAGCAACGAAACGGACATGGCGAAAGAGAGGGGTGATCTCTTTTTTTTGGGGGGGGGATTCGAGGGGCACACTATTCGACTCCTTTTTTTGATCTAAGAGACAAAAATTAGGGACTAATACTGTTAATTAAATTAATTCATCTCAAGTCTTGAAATCCATGCCACCAAATATTTGTAGTAATTCCCTTGCCCCCCAGCCTTACTTATTTTATTACTGTTACTGTTTTATAATGTGATGAGCTCAATCTTGCTTGATGAAGATGTCTATGGAAATCATCATTCTCACACAACACAGATCGAGCCCCCGGAGAAACATGTGGGTGGATGTGTGGGACTGCTGTATCAATTCTCTTGCGCTACCAATCTCATCTTGCATGGCCTCATTTTCACTGTGGAGCATCAGAGACTTACCATAACCCGGCAGAGAGAACCAGAAAAAGAGTCTAAAATCACTTTACGATCCTGAGTGGCCCTCGCTCACCACAGACCAAAGCATGCGTATCCATGACAACACTAAGATGGGATCCACTCTTAGCCATTGACTCCTCTCAGTCAGCGCTGAGTGCTGAGGGAGGAAGTGGAGATAAGGAGAGATTCAATTCAATTTGCTCTGAATGGCTGCTTGGCCCTCATGTAAATGGAATAAATAGGTTACACCCTGAGCTACACAGGAGTGAAGAACAGAAAAGTGGAAGGGAGGGCGAGAATTATGTTATCATGGTTGAGTCCCCTTTTGGTCCCCAGAGATGTGATGATAACTTTGGTGCTTGGTTGCAGTCTCCCCCCCACCCCCTTGAAAAATCTTCAGAAAGACATTGCACCTACTCCTTCATGGAGTCTCCTCTGTTTGATAAAGGAAAATCTGTTCTCTTAGAACGGTCTACTGTCGATGCCTACCCAGCTTAGTTTGGTTCTTATCTTGACATAATATCTGAGGGGGCGCTGTGTATAATAAGTTGGCCTATTGTAAATATGAGCATGACTTATGAGCTAGAGCAGGCTAAAATGGGCAGCAAGATTGCATGTGAGCCCACACATTGGTGAGCCCTGAATACCTGTGTAAGTGGTGGTTGTAGGCTCAGTTTATAGCAGTTCCTATGTTACCTAAGGAGGAGGGAGCAGGTGCATTTACCCTGGGATTTCTTTCCCAGTCATGTTGACCCAACACTGCTTAAATCAATAGCCATTTCCATCTGTGTCATGTAAGTCAGACAGAAATAACCCTCTATGTACACTCTTCTCCTGCTGTTGGACACGTCTTCTGTATGAGAGTCAAGAATGTATTGTTTGATAGGAATCTTGAGTACCTTACCTTTCTTATTATGCTGCCATATTAAATTAGAGTAATTAAAGTGTATTAACCTTGAGTATATTTAGACAATGTCAGTCAATGTCAGGTCAAGCAGCTCCTCTAAAATCCTGCTGAGCGGAAATCCAAACCTTGTAAAAGAGTCCTGAGGCAGAGCTTGTGGAATATATCTAAAAATAAAGCTAAGGTAAAGGTAGCTCAACATTATTTTCTCGTTAGGAGAATAAAAAGTTTCTTCTGACCTTTTCGTGTTTGGTTCAACCAAAGTCACCAAAACCAAAACAATCTCCTCCATGCACCCCTACCCTCCATCGCCTTTGATTCCAGGATCAAGCTACGTTCCCTAGGCTCGGTGTGTCAGATGATCCTCCTGTATTTTCAGTCAGTCAAGCTGGCTATGGGTACACAGATAGCATTCACTGGACTCGGTGGAATTGCTAAAAAAAATAAATGCAACACCTTCTCCCACTAATATTTACCCTCTCCTCCCTGTGAAAGACATGACAGTAGCAGATTTTTTTTAAACCTGTGAGATCACATTTAGAGAACAAATGTGCACCACCCTCACTGTTGTTTATAGCTCAATTTATGATTTAATATCAAACCAATTAAAAAGTCTGATGTATTCTTTAAACAGTACCCTTAAAATCAAGGTAATTTCATGTTATTAGCCTGCAGAATGGCAAAAAAAATCATATGGTCTTTATCAGTTAATCTGTTAAATTTCAAAGCTGGGTAGGCAGAGGTTATTTCCTGGTAGCGCAGTTCCATCAGGGCATGGTTTCCTTATCTGAGCTTTAATCTCAAGGGTCGTGAGACATTTTACAGGTGAAGGCGGAGCTCATCGCTCTGTGTCTCTGTGTAGGTGGAGGAGGTGGTGGATGTTGGGACCTTCGCCGAAGAGGACATCCACATACCCAGCATCTACGTCCACAGAGTTGTCCAGGGAGCCAGCTATGAGAAAAGGATTGAGGTACAAAACACACACACAGATCACCTTTCATATAACAATTGGTTGCAGGGTTTAACATTTCCATCATTGTGCAGAAACACTCATACTAGCTCTGAAGAAAATAGCCTTCAAGATGCTGTCTCCCTGTTCCTCATATATTTCTGTATGGTTCCAGAAACGCACAGTAAAGAAAAGCCAAGAACAGAAGGCCAAACCAAAGAAGGACTCGGATATTGTTCGGGAAAGGATCATTCGCCGGGCTGCTCTAGAGTTTGAGGATGGGATGTATGGTATCCTTTTTAAAAGAATACAAGCAGTGAGCAAATTATGGAATCATAACTTTGTGTTCTGATTACCACAACTAAAACCAAACCCAGTGTATGTGTGTGTATATATATATATATATATATATATATAGATAGATAGATAGATAGATAGATAGATAGATAGATAGATAGATAGCCACAAAAAAAAGAAAATAATAATATAATAATAATGAATAATTGTAATTATGTGTAAATTATGCACATTCTTTTTTTGTTCAGCATTTCACATTTACATGTTATTGTGATAGCATTCGTCCTTCCTCATGAAAGCAGTTTTTGAGCAACTAATCTATGATTAACCACTGATTTTTGGACTTCAACCTTCATTCAACCTGACACATTTGGCATCTTGGAAATGTTAAGACTTTAAATGTCTATGGGTCTGACCATGGTTCACGCAACAAATGTTTTTTAGCTTTTTTTTTTTACACAACACGACTGACATGAGTTCACCAAAATTTCCAAGGCGGTTAAAAAAGGAGGCTACAGGGTTTACGGTAGTTTCCATTAAAGCAGCTTTCAACATCATACTGTTTATGTTTCTCTTTATATTAATGCCTAATTTCCATCGCATTATGTTGAATGTAGTAGTTACCATCTTTAACAAAGTGCCCATCAGCCAACCTTGGTATTGGTATCCCCATGCTGGCCAGCAACTTTATGAAACCAGACATCACTGTACACCTCCAAAGTGAAAATGGAATTTTGGGACTGGTAAGATACCCACATAGAGCTTTCTTCTCTCTCAGGTTGCTTTGAATTTCAACTAAACAAACTAACGAGCAGCACATTTTGTGTCGGCCGTTTTAAGCAGCAGTAAACGTTTTTAAAGTGAATTGTTCTCTGAGCTTGTAGCAAGATGAATAGCCATTCATTTGAGTGGTATCATTCCTAGTTGGGGCCCTCCTTTTAAATTTGCTGGGTTTGTTATGTAACAAATTGTGGCAGTTTGACACTTTCTCTTACATTTTTCTTTCTCACAATCATTATTTGCTGGCTGGGCCTTCAACAAAGACTGCTGCTGCTGCTGCTATGGAATGACTTCCCAATCAGTTGCGTTGACAGGAGAATGTAGGCGCCTATGCTAATGCCTTATTTGTCAAGTTTCTTTTAATTATGAATGCCAGTTTCAAAGAGGTTCTCCTCTCTCCTCTCCTCTCCTCTCCTCTCCTCTCCTCTCCTCTCCTCTCCTCTAGATCCAGAAGGATTGCTCCCTTTGCTGAACACAAAGAAAATCAATGTCTCATATAATTAGAAAAATATGATTGTGTCTGTCTATCCCTTGAAAGATTATGGATGGTCAGGCTGCGTGACATGTGAATGTGTGTGACTGCCCGCCTGGGTGCACATTCTTGTTTATCTTCATGTCTCTCTGTGTAGGGCCCATACCCCACTGAGGATGCAGTGGATGCAGACCTGATTAATGCCGGTGAGGGTTATCCTAATCAATACTTCCCAGTGATACATTTATATGTAAGAAATTAAAAGCTGGTCCAACGAAATTATGGGTGGAAGAAGAGAGCTTTTCCACTTAATTGGATGCCTAATACAATGTGTTCTCTGTAATGATCATTTAACATTGTATTCATTCATTCATTCATTGTGACACCTAATCAATCAATATATTGCAAATACTTTTTGATTCATCCATTTATTTCATCTAGTCATTTATTTTTATGTGGTTGTTTGATATCTTTTATCATTTCAGAGTTTACTGCTATGATCAATTACTCCCAATATTTTATTTTGCCCAAACATGTCACCTCTCTGTTCTGCAGGGAAGGAGACTGTCACTGTGCTCCCTGGGGCTGCCTATTTCTCCAGTGATGAGTCATTTGCCATGATCCGAGGGTAGGGTTATAATACAAGCTTTGAAAACTTATTTGCTGACTGGAAGTTATATATGCCTGACATTTCTGGATTTATTTGTAGACAGCTTATTAATACTTAAAAATCATTTTCGTCATACCATGAGTCACTTCTGTGAACTGCGTGGTGCAGTTATATGGAGGTCCAAAACTGCTGAAATCAAAAAATAAATAAATAAATGACTCAATAAATAAATGAATATGCCATTAAATGAGTCCTCAGTACGACAGTTGTGAGCCTGAGACTGTCTCAGTGGCCACTGGTGTGGGAGCAAGGCGTAGTCTATCTCTGATGTCGATGAAAAAATAGGTGTAAAGTTGACCCTATGACACACTTTGAATGACAGAAATTAATTGATGCCTGCATTTATTTATTTTAGATGTTTGTAGTTTTGGTCCTCCATATAGTTTATGCATGTTTCCCCTTAATTCAACAGTATTTCACCTGTACCATAAGCCTGCAATAACCATTAAGCAGGATTTGACAACAGGACATAACTCTGGATATTAACAAATAGCCACTGTCACCAGTGCAACTAGACAGCAGCCTTGCCAATATTCCCAAGATCCCTGGTTCTTATTGATTTGCCAGTTGTCTGAGATTGCCCACCCGCACTCCCTGCAGCATCAGTTCTGTTTGTCCACCCAGTGGAAATCCAATATTGCTCATAAATAGCGCTGTCCAGTCACACTGGCGGGGACCAAGCGGAAGCATGCTGACTGTGTGTGTGTGTGTGTGTGTGTGTGTGTGTGTGTGTGTGTGTGTGTGTGTGTGTGTGTGTGTGTGTGTGTGTGTGTGTGTGTGTGTTTGTGTGTTTGTGCGAACACAGTTAAGAGCTGAGAAACAATAACACAACATATGGTGGATTGTGTGCCTTGTTGCCTCAAATACCACACAAGCTACTTCTCGTACCGGGATTAGATTTAGATGTGTACTTTATCGCAGAATTTATTTTAGCACTTCTTCCTGTGTATGTGTTCCTGTTTGGCCTCACACCTGCTATGTGTTGCCACATGCAATGGAGAAACAATGAGGAATTAAGATACTTACGATTTTATTATAGGCAGCAGTTCCACAGATCCTGGTTTAAATCTATGCAATGGCAAGCATCCTAAGAATGCCCCTTCATGCTATAGAGGCATTGTTGGATACCTCATTCTGGACTACTTTGGAGAAACAGGAAAAGGAATTGCTTTCACAGAAATCACACTTAATAAAGAGATAAAATAACTGACTAATTATGTTAATATGGTACATTATATTAGGGCTGCACAATTTAAATAATTTAAAATAAAATATTATTCAAATAGCACTATGGCCAAGTACAGTATCCAAATTGCAGAAGCTGTAATTGTTTTGATAAAGGTTAAATATGTGGCAAAAACAGCACTATAATAAAGTACTGTAGTTCTGCGAAGAAGTGTTGGCCTACAAATCTTGTTAGGATGTAAGAAAACATGTTTGTGTGGTACAGACCCCAACAAATGTCATATTATCAAGTTTATATAATAGTTTTTCTCAGTGAAAATGCGCATTGTGATGCAAAAATGATTACCTCTTATCTTGAAACATATTGCAATCGTTCTCAAAATTATTTTGTTTTTGGAGGAGGGGGTGAAAATAAAACATTCTCTCAAGCCTTTTATATATGACAAGTTCTGCTATCAAGAAAACCGTGGAGATGGGAAGAGGGGTCATTTTTGTGAAGATATTTGTTCTGAATCTGTCCAGTCATCAAGTATCAAATATTTGGGGTTTTTTTTGGCAAGTGGACTTGTGAGTTCATAAGTTGAATTGATTCTGAAGTTGACAGCTGTCTTCTTCTGTTGTGTCATTCTCTTTAGGGGTCACATCAACCTGACAATGCTGGGAGCCATGCAGGTGTCAAAACATGGAGACCTAGCCAACTGGATGATTCCAGTAAGTTTGGTTTTGATGGCACAAATCTATCACTTTTTTTTTCTCAAATTCATGCGTTCTGCTCTATTTGCTGGGGTCATGACAACATCAGTACAATAGGCAATGTTCCAAATGCCGTTTTGTGAAGCTTATAATAGTTAGTTTTTTTTGTCAGAGGTGTTTCAGACTCTGGTGATAAATATTGTGGTACTGTTCTGTTAATTTGCATGATGTTTCACTGATATACAAGGACATGTATCCATGATTCTACATTTTTATTCTCAGTCTTTGTCTTTAGACTGCTGACTGTCACAGGTCAGAGACTCAAAATGTTCCAGTTCCAGTAGTATATAATAATTTAATATCAGTGAAAAAATGTTGGTATTTATTTGTCAGTCAATAATGCACTTAACATGAGGCTTTAAAATCAACCACAAAAAAGGTTAAGGGGAAACTCTGAATTAGTGTCGTAACAGTTATGATCATTATTGGTAAATCTGCTGATTTTTTTTCTTAATGAATCTTTTTGTCTATAACATAAAATAGTTTTAAAAAATCACATTTTCAAAAATGATGTCTTCATATTGTTGGTCTTATCCGACCTTCAGTCCAAAACCCAAAGATATTCCATTTGATAACATACTGTATAGGACTAAATAAAGCAGTAAATCGTGTTTGGCAATTTTGCCTGAAAAGTAATTAATTATCAAAATGGTTGCAGATACATTTTCTGTTGATCAACTAATTGGTTAGTTGTTTCAGCTCTACTCTGTGTACCTGGCTTGTGCAATGACTAATTCAGCTTTGCTCAAGTGTGGGGGGGTGTTGTGAGCGCTACAGTATAATGGGTGGCAAACATTATCGCTAGATGTTTCGTCAGGTCAATTGGTCTTAGGACCACAGTGGCCACAGTCCTCCTCAATGATTACTAATGTCAAGAACCCATTAAAATCCTTTTCACAATGTGGGCGGGCTCAACCAGAATGCCCCCTGGCACACAGCTGTTTTCTGCTTGACTGAAGTGCACATGCAAGGTTGTTTCAGTCAGTGCATCATTTTCTAGATGCATCTCCTCTGAGTGGATACAGACACAGAGCATTGAAGATGTTTGCATGTAGAGACCTTAGGAATAAAACATGACTATTTAAACACAATAAGTCATATGTAAGGCAGCACTGTGCACAAGGAAACTGTTATTGATGATGATCTCTAAATTCTGCAACGTAATTAATTTTCTCTTTACCTCTCCAGTCGTACTTGTTTGTTCATGGTAATTGCTAATTAACTTAATTAAGCACATTATGCAGATATTGAAGGACTACATTGGAGCTGTTATTCAGAAGCAGGGAGTTTATCTTGTTTGGCCATTCTAGTGTTGGACAGTTTGAACAGCAAAATAATGCAGCAGCACAGGCACACACACCTCTGTCCTCACCTACGCTTCAATCTTCATTGTCCCCTCTTTTGAAAGGATGGATTAAGAGAATTACATTTCCCACCTTCTGTGATAATGAAAATTATTCACTATCTAAAGATGGGTACATAGCGTGAAATTGGAAATGTTGTACGTAGGAGTCGGGGATGCAATACTCTCAGCGTGATTATGTTGATTTTGAACGCTTTTAATATGCAAAATGCAGATGAACATTTTCCAGTTGAGGGCTTTGAAATGCTTTTACATCTCCACTGAGCCTGAAACATCTGGAAAAACAATAGATTGAGAGAAAGGGGTAGCAGAATAAAGGATGGCATTTTAGATTTGGTCTGCTATTTTATCATTTAGCTGCTGGAGCTTTTCAGGGCAATTCACAGGAGATGCAGACACTGATATTTTCCTGTCATATGTACCTCTGCACAGATTTCTAATAGCCAACCACACACTTTGAGAAAAATTAAAACCATATTTGACTTTTATTTACCTTTGGATTTTGGCTTCCTGAGCAATGCTACTTCAGTTTTCACTTGCGCCTTCAAATCTGAGAAGAATAAACAGATATTGCCAATGAAGGAACACTGGACATAGTTGAAGAAAGCGATAAAAAAATGTATCAATTAACTCAAATACCACTATTTACTTTACAAAACAGAATTCAGTTTGATAGTCTTCGACTTTAAGTGGAGAAAACAAATGTTGTATCAGACATACAGTGGGTACGGAAAGTATTCAGACCCCTTTAAAATTTTCACTCTTTGTTTCATTGCAGCCATTTGCTAAAATCAAAAAAGTTCATTTTATTTCTCATTAATGTACACTCAGCACCCCATCTTGACAGAAAAAAACAGAAATGTAGAAATTTTTGCAAATTTATTAAAAAAGAAAAACTGAAATATCACATGGTCATAAGTATTCAGACCCTTTGCTGTGACACTCATATTTAACTCACATGCTGTCCATTTCTTCTGATCCTCCTTGAGATGGTTCTGCTCCTTCATTGGAGTCTAGCTGTGTTTAATTAAACTGATTGGACTTGATTAGGAAAGGCACACACCTGTCTATATAAGACCTTACAGCTCACAGTGCATGTCAGAGCAAATGAGAATCATGATGTCGAAAGGAACTGCCCAAGGAGCTCAGAGACAGAATTGTGGCAAGGCACAGATCTGGCCAAGGTTACAAAAGAATTTCTGCAGCACTCAAGGTTCCTAAGAGCACAGTGGCCTCCATAATCCTTAAATGGAAGAAGTTTGGGACGACCAGAACTCTTCCTAGACCTGGCCGTCCAGCCAAACTGAGCAATCGTGGGAGAAGAGCCTTGGTGAGATAGGTAAAGAAGAACCCAAAGATCACTGTGGCTGAGCTCCAGAGATGCAGTAGGGAGATGGGAGAAAGTTCCACAAAGTCAACTATCACTGCAGCCCTGCACCAGTCGGGGCTTTATGGCAGAGTGGCCCGACGGATGCCTCTCCTCAGTGCAAGACATATGAAAGCCTGCATAGAGTTTGCCAAAAAACACATGAAGGACTCCCAGACTATGAGAAATAAGATTCTCTGATCTGATGAGACCAAGATTGAACTTTTTGGCGTTAATTCTAAGCGGTATGTGTGGAGAAAACCAGGCACTGCTCATCACCTGCCCAATACAATCCCAACAGTGAAACATGGTGGTGGCAGCATCAGGCTATGGGGATGGTTTTTCAGCTGCAGGGACAGGACGACTGGTTGCAATTGAAGGAAAGATGAATGCGGCCAAGTACAGAGATATCCTGGAAGAAAACCTCTTCTAGAGTGCTCAGGACCTCAGACTGGGCCGAAGGTTCACCTTCCAACAAGACAATAACCCTAAGCACACAGCTAAAATAACAAAGGAGTGGCTTCGGAACAACTCTGTGACCATTCTTGACTGGCCCAGCCAGAGCCCTGACCTAAACCCAATTGAGCATCTCTGGAGAGATCTGAAAATGGCTGTCAACCAACGTTCACCATCCAACCTGACAGAACTGGAGAGGATCTGCAAGGAAGAATGGCAGAGGATCCCCAAATCCAGGTGTGAAAAACTTGTTGCATCATTCCCAAGAAGACTCATGGCTGTAGTAGCTCAAAAGGGTGCTTCTACTCAATACTGAGCAAAGGGTCTGAATACTTATGACCATGTGATATTTCAGTTTTTCTTTTTTAATACATTTGCAAAAATTTCTACATTTCTGTTTTTTTCTGTCAAGATGGGGTGCTGAGTGTACATTAATGAGAAATAAAATGAACTTTTTTGATTTTAACAAATGGCTGCAATGAAACAAAGAGTGAAAAATTTAAAGGGGTCTGAAAACTTTCCGTACCCACTGTATATTCCAAACCCCTAGAGGCTCTGTATAACTGCAGTTTAAGGGCTGCAATAGCTTGAGCTACTGACTATTAAAATGCAGTTACTAGCTCAAGAGCTCATGATAAGGCCTGATGGCAGCTTTAATGAAGGAGTTGCTTAAGAGCATAGTGCTTTTTTTTATTTTTTTTATAGAACTTCACTTGCTTTCTTGCTGCATCATAAACAGATTTACATGGACATGGTTGCCAGTTTATAATCAGTTGAAGATGTCCTATTCAGTATTTGTAGTAGCAATAGTAGTAAAATGTTAATTTTTGGCTTTTGTTTTCCAGATTTATTAGGCATAATACTATACCTAAAAGAAACTTTCTGTTGCAGGTCAAAAACTGGTTTGCCCAGGTTGAATAGTATATAATGTTTTATGTTTTCTCTCTTTGAATACCAGTTAAAATATATGTAACACCAGAGGTTTGATATTGCCTTTTTTATTAGTCAGTAAAGGTCTAAGCAAATACTATTCAGAATCAGCCACAAAAGATCTTGTGGACTATCTTTTGAATTATAGTAATTAACCTTAACTCATGTTTCCTACATATAACAGACTTTTACATTCTACATTTTGTAGTGTTTTGGCTTGTCTGGTTAAAATTTTATGTTCTAATGAATTTAAAGATCATTGGTCATTGTTGGGAGAGAAAACATTGATTGTAATTTCTAGCGGTGGATTACACTGTATCACCAGTTATACACTGTAAACACTTACGTTTTCCATTTACTTTGAACACAGTGTCCATTGTCTTGCTGTCAGTCTTGTCTCCCCCTCTGATTCTTGTCATTAGTTGTCTGGGTAACTAGGGCTTATGGAGGTCCGTCGCTATGTTATTAAATAGAGAGCCATTTGTATCAGACAGCGGAGATTGTCAGAGAATTTGTGGGGGAGAGAAAGGAAGCCAGTTGGTAAGTGGGAACTCTTGGATTGTGAAGGGGGTCATTTTCTGTGGTGTTTCTGCCACTGTCTGGAAAGTGAACACTTGCACAGCAAGTGAGGAAATCGTATTCCGTCGTCATGGCAACACAAAAAAAAAATGCAAGCAACCCCTAAGCCTAGTAAAAGAAATACAGTGCCAGTCAAAGTATGCTCTCTATGATGCTTTTCTCATGCGTTAGTGCCACAGCAGCACATTTTGGAACGCCAATCACACTGGTTTGTCAAAGAAACTGCTGAATCAAGCCTTTCGACCGATTATGGACAACAATGCA